CCCCCCCCCCCGTTACTTCATTTAGCTGTAACTGGTTCGATCAGCACAGACACAGAACATTGCCATCATCACCCAGAGCTGCGCAGGACAGCGCACCCTGCCCGCCTGCGTCCACCTGTGCGCACCTTCTCTTCCCCACACCGAGGCCACGCTGGTCTGTGGGCCCCGAGGACGTGCCAGGCTCATGGCCTTTACCCCATGGTTCCCTCTGCCTGTGGCACCATCCCCCACTGCTGAGATGGGTGGCCTGCGCGCCCCTCTCTGACCCCTCCCTGACCACCGCTCAGAGGGTGAATAAGAGCGGACCCGGACATCCATCACAGTTTTGTCCGTGGCGACTGGCCTGCCGCGCAGCCGTTTAGCACTCGGGACAGACTTACGTGACAGCCTGAGTGAGCTGCACGCAGAGGAACGTATGTGCAAAGGCGCAGGGGAGGCATCGGCGGCGGGCGAGTCAGGCAGGGCTGGCAGGAAACAAAATGAGAAGGGAGGCTACTGAGAAGTGGGGGAGGGGCAGCGGGGTCCCCCAGGGAAGGCGCTACAGCTCCTGAGTTGGGCTGCCACCGGGGGTCCCACTAGCTGACCGGGGACTCAGCTGGAAGAGACCAGGCAGCCGGAAAGCCCAGAGCTACCGGGGACAGGGAGGGGGCAGCTGAGGAAGGACTGGGCTTCGCAAGGGGTCCACCCAGGAAGCTACCGCTTCCAGCTCCGTTTGGGGTTCAGGTGGAGGTGGCCCCTCACCTGAGGGGCTGGAAACAGCAAGGAGTAGCTTCAACCCTTAGAAGCAGCAGGAGCCCCAGAGGCATCGTCTCAGCCTCCACCTGAGCCAGTGTTCCTACCTGGCCCAGCCGTCCCTGCCTCCCTCACCTCTAGGAGGTGAGCTGGATAAAGACAGGAACTTTGTCTCTTTCGGCCTCATGTCCTAGGACGGGCCCTGCCTCGTGGGAGAACCTCACGAAGTACTCATTGAATGAATGAATCCATATTCCGCTTCTCGGAGGGCCCTGAGTGTTGAGGGTGGAATCTGGGTCCCAGGCAGTCTGCAGGGCAGGCAGCAGAGGATAAGACCCCCATCCACACTCATCATCCCAATGTCCTTGAAGATGAAATGGACTCACCTTGTTTCCGAATCAAGTCAAAATTTACTTTTTCCAAGACACTTTCCCTATACCACCCCACACCCTCTATACTCAAATCCACCCACACCCACTCGGGTGTTTTCACCATCTAAAGACATGCCATTCAGAGCGTGCTCATCTCCGGGGCCTCTGTGACCGCTGTTCCTCACTTGGGGACTGTGACGCTCTCCTCTGACCTGTTTCAGGGGCAGGGCCCCTAAGGGGCGGGGCTTGGACCGGCAGGAGAGAGAGGTGACAGGAAAAGCTGTGGCCCAGACCAATCTTCCCAGCTAGAACAAACCTCCCTGTGGCCCCAGACCTGTGGCCTGAGTCACCTTCCTTTCTTTCTCCCAGGTCGGGGGGTGAGACTTTGTTCAGATCCCGGCTGCACCGCTGACTTCCTGTTTCTGAGTGTGTTTTCTCATCTGCAAAACAATACCTCCTGGGGGGTTACTGGGAGATAAAACAGTGTCTGCAGAGTGGACGGACTGGTGGTGCCGGCCCTCCCTCCATCCATGTCCACATCCAGACTTTGCTTCACCTTGTTATTGGGGTAGGAGAGGCAAAGTCCAGAAGGCCTGATTCAAGATTCTCCTGCTCTAAAAACCCCCATAACTGACAGCTGAATTATAGTGTTTGGGCTACGGTGGACTTGAGGAGCTATCAAATATACCTCCTTGCTTTACAGATTTGGTGCGGAGGATGGAGGAGGGCATCCTCCTCCATCCACCTGTCCAGCATCATGAATCGAGTTTGGGATACCGCTGGAACTGGATCTCAGGTGGCCTGGCTTTCATGCCTTGTGATGGAAACAGATGCTGTTAAAAGGTTGGTCCATGGGCTTCCCTGGTGGCGCAGTGGTTGAGAGTCCACCTGCTGATGCAGGGGACATGGGTTCGTGCCCCGGTCCGGGAGGATCCCACGTGCCGCGGAGCGGCTGGGTCCGTGAGCCATGGCCGCTGGGCCTATGCGTCCGGAGCCAGTGCTCCGCAACGGGAGAGGCCACAGCAGTGAGAGGCCCGCGTTAACACACACAAAAAAAAAAAAAAAAAAAAAAGAAGGTGGGTCCATGGAAAGCTTTTAGCCACTGCTCGTCACGGGGGAATCTCAAGGAGGTACCCTGGCACCGTCACTGGGTGCCCAGGTGCTGGATCCAGGCTGCCTGTGCTCGGCCCTGCCTCTGCCTCTTACCAGCCTTGTGACCTTGTTGAGCCTGTTTCCTCACCCGAAAAAGAAAGATGCGGATGCTGGTACCCACCTCATAGGATGATTGCATTCAAATGAGATGGTCTATGTAAAGGGCCCAGACTGTGCCTGATTTGTAGGAGCACAGAGAATACTTGCTGTGGCTATCAATAGATCAAAATGTTAATATCAAAATAATAGAGAAGCGTCTAGAAAAACTTCATATCTGGAAACCATTTTAAAGATAATCAGTTTCAACCTCCAGGGGCTAAGTATGGCCTATTATAGCAATATGGGCCACTCCTGTCACCTCCTTCAGGGCCCTTGTACATACTAAAGGTGGCAAAATTATCATTATTTAAAGATGAAATTAACATTGATTATGGCTAGCATATTAGGTTGTAGATGAGCCAAATGCATGATACAATGGACTTGTGTTTTTATGTGCTGTCGTGTATACTTTATAGGATGTTGGGGCCCTTCTGTCATCGGTGTGCACTGTACTTTAAGGCCCATTTTATAGGACTTTTATAAGGGAGGCCAGATAGTGTGGAGGGGAGCGCACTGGCCCTGGAGTCACCAGGCCCAGCTGAAATGTAGGCTTTGCCACGTATTAACTGGTGACCACGGGCAAGCTGCCTCCTCTTCGAGTCAGAAAACTGCAGAGGCTGAGCTGGATCATGTCCAAGGCTCAGTCCAGCCCTGACAGACTGTGGCTCAAAGCAGAATCTTACAATCTGAAGTGATAATCAAGGTCTACAGGGGTTGAGCTTTGGCATCCATGACATACTGTTGGTCACATCTCCGGTTTATTTGACTCTAAGTTCTTAGGGACATAACCCTCAATTATAAAACTATTTCTATTGAATCCACGATGTGCTTTACGAGTTTCTTCTCTGCACGTGGCTCCCAGGAATGCATTACGGAGAACAGCTGGGCTCCTGCATATAACATCCACGTCTCAGGAAGCGAGCGAGTGACCATCATGTGGTCCCTGAGACCATCCCTGGGCTTCTCAAGCCTAACTCACAGAATTCCCGACGAGCATAGATTCTGAGGGTCCCTTCCTCTGTGGAGCAGAAGGGCAAGCTGAAAGTGAAGGGTGTGAGCTGTGAGTGCCAACTACAAAGGACAGCAGAGGTCATGGCTGGAGGAGCCCGGAACACAAAGAAGCTGACCGGACTGCACTGTCAGTTCAGCACTGGATGTCCAGCACGGGAACCCCGAGTTGTCAAGAAGTGCGTAA